CAAAAACCCAAAGGCTATAATTAAACAAATTGTGTTAATTTCATTTATATTATTACGTATTTAGTACTCGCTATCTACGTATAACTCGATTTAATTTAGACGTGCTAAGTAGAAAGAAGCCTATCGACTTGTCAATCTAATGAATATTGAAAAGTGATCACAGTCATGTAAAGTAACGTTTATTAACGAATCTTTACTCTCAATTTTGAATTCAGAAATACTTTTTAGTCATTCACACTGTGAGAACAAAGCAAGTGGTTCCCGAATACTTTTAAACTATGATAGCGATCGTCTCTTAAAAAATATAGGCAGGGGCGTAGAAAACCGGGGCACCGGGTTGATTCTAGTGAACTGTTGAAGAAAAAAACTACCAAAAAATGTGTTTAGATCATCGAGCCCTCCTGAGAAATACGAGCCCGGGAAAATTGAAATATATCTTCCACTGAATATGAATAAGTATACGAGATATTTTATAATAATACCAACCAATATGGAAGGAAATAGTGGGATAGGTGAAAAATTCTGAAAAAGTGATTGTCACAATAAGAACAACGTAAAACTTAATTCCCATTTTGATTGTTGCAAAGCCATTATCAATCCTACAATCTCTTATTATTATCTTTACATTACTTAATTTTGTAAATGCTTAACTGGTCAAGGTAGACAAAGTTCTCAACAATTTATACCGTGTTTTTTTTTGCAATCCTCTTGAGAAATACAATAAATGTTACAAGTGCAATTCTACAAAAGATTAAATATCATATTACCGGAAAGAGATACTGATTTTAAAATCAATTTTCTATGCCATATATTATGTACTTAGTTTGCCATTGCTTCTGTTACAAGTCTAGGCCGTTTCAAAATAAAACTATAATACAATTTGTGATAAAGTTAATTTTATTTACTAATGCATATATTAAATGAGCGGCATACAAGATTGTATTCGAAATAGTTACCTTTCGCTTTTACATAAACCCTCAAATGGTTCGGACATTGTTCAATAACAAACACGCATAGTTTCTTTTGCTATTGCCGGCTATCATCGAACCAAAGATTTTTTGACTCTCCAAATTTGTGAGAAATTCGAAAGGATATTTTCTTCAACTCAGACCACGAACTGTAGTCCAATGGATTTAAATTTGGACTTCCGAGACGGCCAATCATCTGCAGCTTTGAAACCAAGAATATTGCTTTTAAGCCATTGGCTGGGTGGTTTTTGTTTTATGTGCTGGACCCGAATCTTGTTAGGCGATCCAATGCTCTCCATTGAAGAGTTTATGGCTTAACTGCTTTATCAAATGTTCTAAAACACACTGCTGGCACACTTTTGCCTCAGTTCTAACCCCTTACCACAGAAGTATAGAGATGTAACGACTTTACAGTAGACCAAAACATTGAATCGTTGAAATAACATTTTTTCTGGAAGTTTTTACCTATTAAAAACTTGAAACGTAAAAATTGTTTCATCTGAAAAAGAATATTATCATGGCCTTTGGCCGAGCACAACTGAAACAAGAAAAAACGTTAACTTCAGTTGCACCGATGCTAAATACCCTTCACAGGTGCATTTCTGTTAGTAATTATGTGTTCAGTTTATATGGAAGCTATATGCTATAGTAATCCGATCTGAACATTTTTTTTGGAGATTATATTATTACCTTAAGCAGTAATCCAAGTCAAATTTCGTGAAGATACCACGTCAAATGTGAAAGTTTTCCATACATGAACTTGATTCCAATTGTTCAGTTTATATGGCAGCTTTATGTTATAGTTAACCGATCTGAATAATTTCTTCCGATACTACATTATTTTTATGAAAAATAACTCTTATCAAATTTCGTGAAGATATATCGTCAAATGAGGAAGTTTCTCATGCAAGCATTTGATTCCGATCATTCAGTTTGTATGGCAGCTATATGTTATAGTTAACCGATCTGAACAATTTTTTCAGAGATTACATTGTTGTCTTAGAAAATAACTTGTGCCAACTTTAGTGAAGATACATTGTCAAATGTGAAAGTTTTCMATACAAGAACTTGATTCCGATCGTTCAGTTTATATGGCAGCTATATGTTATAGTGGTCCGATATCGGCAGTTCCGACAAATGAGTAGCTTCTTGAAGAGAAAATGGTGTTTGCAAAATTTCAAAACGATATCTTAAAAACTGAGGGACTAGTTCGTATATATACAGACAGACGGACAGACGGACATGGCTAAATCTTAATCTCAGCTTAACATACTGATCATTTATATATACACTTTATAGGGTCTCCGACGCTTTCTTCTGGGTGTTACAAACTTCGTGACAAAATTAATATACCCTGTCCAGGGTATAAAAATTTACACTAATTTACTTCAAGCGCGTCGTCAGAAGATGCCCAGTTGACCGACGGCTGGCTGTCATGTGGGCATCATCTCGAATTACTCTTGACGTTGATCTGGTCGATATATGTATGCATTTCACTTGACATGATTATTTGCTTTCTAAGCGAATTTCAGCGAAAGCGTTCGCGAACTGTGTTTTATGGCTGAATCGAATCTAACTACACGAGGACGACCACTTCTCTTTCTGTGATTAATTGTAAACATTTAGAGAAAATGACCAATAGAAGCTCTTAAATTTCGCCTGCCATTTTTCCACACTTATGTAAAAGAAAGATTAAAAGGTTTTGCTATAAGGTCAAAACCGTATTAAAATAATTTTGCAACTTGTATCAAATGCGAACCTTCAATATATACAATATGATCGGTTAATGAAGCCTCGACAGTAACACCAATACACTAGAAAAAACTAACGCTAGGATTGATTGACAATTAAATCAGGACAATAATTTTTAGAAGTGATTGAAAGTTTTCTTTCCGGTTCTATAAGTAAATGCAACTTGAAAATAAATGCATAGTAATAATAATTGGGCCAGAAATTAGCATATAGCAACAAAGCATGTAATTAATCTTGTACGACAACAATCTATAATGCTGATGGAATCCAAAAGATATTATTCATATTAAAATGCCGAAGAGGCCATTGCCTCCCAGAAGATACGCATATATGAATCATGCTTTATAAACATTTCTTATTAATTTAGCTTTATGATTTCATTACTTTGAATCAGTCGTGTATTTATAGAACTCTCATTATTACCCTTAATGGTCGGCAGTTCCATATCAAACGTAAGCGCGTTGGTTAGCATATTAATAAATCTATCTTATCGTTTTATTGAATTTGTAGGATTCATCTTATGTAATCAGGTTAATTGTAAAAAATTCGTCAACTCTTTATGATTAACTTTGTGTCATATGTTACGTACAAACATTTTTACTGCCCTATAAAACCTATATCATATCGCTGTTAAAACTTAAATTAACTTCACTAATAATACGAGTACATTCAATTGTATACCAATTACAACAATATGTCAGAAGTTCTTAAATTACGAAATGCTTCTAGAGAACATGTTTTCAAGAATTTTGATATCGATATATTTTCTACGTAAAATTGAGCTAGTGTCAGTTTTATTCTAGAATGGTAGTTAAATAAAGGCCAATATTTTATGAAGTTTCGTCTGGTACTCTTCTTCCTCTGTTCGACAAAATCACCAAAAATAAAAACAAAAAAATGCGGTATGAATAAGTGAGTGCCATCCATTGATGAAGAATATCGTGCTTCGCTAATTTTCTTTATTCAATGAAGGATAATGCTTATATAATACCAGTTACCTATCATGTATTTCTTATTGTTTTTGAAAAGATCCAATCAGCTAGTTGGACAATTTTCTCTACTAAAGCAGTAAAACTTTTTAATTTAAATTTCGCGCGAAAACCCATTTGTCGAAATATTTTTATTTCTAGTTTGATATGACTGTCAGTGGCATCTGTGTCAAAAGTCACATCCAAATAATTATTAGTGTTTAGTATACGCTTGTCTTTTTAAAGTACATAAAACGCATTCGGCGACTTTTATGATGAGTGAAATTATTCAACAAATAAATTGCTAAGACTTTCAGAAAGTTGGAAAAGGCGTTCGGTGATAATTATACGAAATGAGTCAAGAACCCGTCGACGACGAACCGTCAGCGATGTTACTGACATAGCTCGAATATCGAAAACATCAGTGAAAACAAGTTTGGGGGATTAGAAAAATCTTGGCACAGGTACATTGGTAACAAGGTGGATTACTTTGAGAGGGACGTCATAGATTTTAATGGAATTATGTATGTATGTTCAATAAGTAAGTAATTCAGTAACGGACAACTAAAAATGGCAAGCGAAGGAAGCAAACATTTCGATAGTCACTGGTGCACGGAGCGGACTACGGCTCCTAGCGATCCTGGTAATCAGCATCACTAGACACTCAATTTCTGCATATTCTTTATAAAATATCTTTTATAAAAATAAAACATAGTTAATATGCGTTCCGCCAAAGCGTTGAACACTTCGCTGTTTAAAAGTATATACATATTCGGCAAAGTACTGTATGATATGATACGGAAATTTTAAAGAGATAACAGGCATATGTATCCCTTAACATCATAAGCAAAGAAAAGCTATAAATATATGTTTTTCGTAAAAGTAACATTATATTGAGACAGAACTATAGTTGTCTCTGCATCGCGATGGCACTTTAGACGCAAACAGTCTGGCGTAAAGTATGCATAGTGCTTCCAAATTTAGTTAATTAGATAATTATCTACATTAGTCTATTGAACTCAATTAAGGAGCTACCTAAAAAGCATATTACTCTAGAAAGTCTAGAATCTAAAAATAGCGCGATTATCTCAAATTGCAACTAATTTTATTATTATTCATTGCAATAAAATATGGAATTAATTAGGTACTAGTTATCTTAAAAAAACAATATAGAATGCTACAATTTCAGAAACTTTTATTTACAGAAATATATGAGCCCATATAAATATATATATCGAGTCTTTATGATTATCTTATCATGCTTATTTTGTTGCATTCAACCATATTAATATTGACTAATTTCCTTTTGCAGGTCAATGAATATGTGTACAACAGGCAGATAAAAAAAAACAACAACCAAATATAAATGCTAGAACAGAAAAGTGATTTGTACGCATGGACGGAAGAATAGCCGGCGGAGAAATAAAGAAACCCATAAAAGAAAGCGAAAACGATTGATATTAAAAAAGCAACAACAATTTACAATTTTCTGTGGTAAAAAAATTAGAAACGAAATCGGAAACCGTAAAGATTAAGTCGTCAAACCGGCATGAAAGCAATGAAAATTCATTAGAAAGCAACAACAACAACAACAAAAACAATCAATTAATAGCTAATAGCATTAATAACATTATTTGTTATTACTAAAACTAATATTACTAATAACAAATAAGTGGTAACAACAACAACATTGTGCTTTATACAATACCTGTCTCTTATACACATCTAGATGTGTATAAGAGACAGGCTAATAGCATTAATAACATTATTTGTTATTACTAAAACTAATATTACTAATAACAAATAAGTGGTAACAACAACAACATTGTGCTTTATACAATACCGGTGATCTAATTGGTAATAGAAACGCCGATACACACAACAACAGCAAACACAACTGCATTGACGACAACATGATGGACGTCAAAACAGCGGCTGCAAAACATAGCAACAATACGAACAGTGTTGGCAATGGCAATGCTGAAATGTTGCAAGCTCGTGATGAGGTCGATTTTATTGCTGTGGCTGCGCACAACAACAACAACAATAGCATTTTCGACAACAAAACAATGAGCAACGGATTGCATTCGAATTCGAAGACAACTTCGACAATTTTCACGAACTCGAAAACGTCAGCCAATGAACATTTACAATATCAACAACAACAGCAACATAAAGAAATAGCAAAGAGCAAAAAGAAAGTTGTCACAAATGAAGAACCAAAGAAAAAGAGTTCCACAAAAGAGCGGCTCTCCTTGTTCTCCACGCTCGGGCGGCGCATCAGCCAGAAGACGCTGAAACAGAAGGACTCTAACGCTAACGAATCCAGCACAGCGCACGAAAAATCTACAGCTACGGCGACTCCGTCAACAACAATAACAAACACGGTAGCTAAAAGTGATGCTATCAACAACAACACGCCTCCCCGCCAACGTACGTTTGTCAAGAGCTCTTCAATTGTCCGTCTTTTAGGCAACACCTATCAGCAGCACGCCAAAAAGCTGGAAAAGCCCCAGTTAAACTTAGAGAAAGGTAAAACACCGTTAGATGGTAAATTCCATACATATGGCGGCAGACGTCGCACCAACGGTCCCTATTTTGATCGCTTCAAACGCTATTCCAAAGACGATGGTGATGTTACCGCAAATAAAAACAATAACGAAGAAGATGCAGAGCAAGCAATGGACTTCACCGATGTGCTGGAATTAGATACAGATACCGCCGATGAACTGCAACGCGCTTCAAACGGTTTGGAACGCTTTTGTGATCATAGCACAGTGGCGGCTGGCGATGACGAAGCCGCCGCGGAATTGGGCAGCAAAACGATGCGTTCGCTGTCGCGCAGCCTCGGCCGGTTGTGGGGCAAACGTTTGCATAGTGTGGACATAAGCACGCCGGATCCAGAGTATAAGGTATCATATTTGGGCAACGTGCTAACCGGCTGGGCCAAAGGTGAGTCAAAGTTGATACCCTTGGTCATTTTGCCAAAATGTGATATTGAGTGTTAACCACAACACTTCCTTTTCATAAGATTGATCGGTTCTGAAGTAGATACAATAAAAGACATGATATGCTAAAGAGACCGATTTTGTCTTTTTTGACGGTGGGCTTTAATCTTTCACACACTATCCCTCGATAGAACCTTATATGCGATGCTGAGAATTCTTATCACAAGTAGTTGGCGCAGACTATGGGGTCTCCCTTTTTGTGGATTGGGAATAGCACACTTTAATTCCAATCGTCGGGCATGCTTTCGTCCGACCATATTCTGTCAAGAAGCTGATGCAAACATATTGCCAGTTCTTCACCATCGGCCCCCGCTCCATTGTCATATTCTAAAGTTAAGCTTTCATTAGCATTCAGTGCTCCCTCCGAAACTTCAGTATTCTGTGGGATCACTAACTAGATGACCTCTGATGGTTCAACAAGAGTATGCTCGGGTCTTGAAACCTGCTGTTAGTCGCCCCATCTTTTCGTAGAATTTTCGAGATTTACCTCTGTTGGCCAGCTTGTCAAGGCTGCTGTTTCCTTTTCATCATTATTGGCGTTTTTTACGTGTCGGGTTCCAAACCCAGCGTACAACTCTGGGGAGAGTTGGTTCGCCTTCTCACTTTAGATCGCCTACAAACGATTGTTCTTTGGCTACACAGAGGATACTTGACCTAAGACCGGAAGTCGTTAGCTGCTTGAGACGTATGTAAAAGAATTGTTTCTGACCAATTCCAAGTTATTGCTGCTAAGAGAACTTTCTACACATGACTCCATATAACTAATAAATCATTAGATTATACAAGTAGAAATAATGATTAAATATTTACTTAAATGTATCTTATTCCCTTACGTTATAGGTGAGGGTTGCGTTGAGAAGCAATTGAACACACTCTGGCGTAACTATACCCAAAACAATAAGCCCGACATGATCATGCGCATTAAGGTATGCGCCAGTGGACTTAAAGCCACCACACGCCAACACGGACTTACCGAGTACTGGGCCAATCGTATCACGCATTGCTGTGCACCAAAGAACTACCCGCGCATCTTCTGTTGGGTGTATCGACATGAGGGACGTAAATTAAAACATGAGCTGCGCTGTCACGCAGTGCTCTGCAGCAAGGAGAAGGTGGTGCAGGATATTTGCAATACATTGAAGGTGCGAACAGACTGTCTCCTTATTAGATAAACATACTAAAAAAAGCTAATTTCTTTTCTTCCTTCCAGGAGAATCTGGAGCGTGCACTGCGCGAATTTAAACGTGAAAAAATTCTCAAGCAGAACGCTCGTCTTAGCCTGGCCAATGCAGCATATGAAAATCCCAGTTTGCCCCGACGTAAGATACTACTCAGCGTCGGTGGTAACAATTATCGACCACCGCTAGAGCGTTCCAAGTCCGCACCAAAGTTAATGGCCATCGAAGAGGCTATCGGTGAGGAGGAGGGCGAGGATGCTGAGGACACCAATGAACCGGAAATGAAACCGTGTTGCCAAAAAGATTCACTATACCCTGCCATGACTTTGGGTCGCAGACGCTGTCGACGTGGTCACTCAATAAGACGCACAGGCAAACCTCGTCCATTATGTGGCGTTTCCTTCGATGAATCACAAAAGCTTAAGCATATTTTAGCCGGAGACATGAAAGTAGACACTTGCTGTCATGACAAACAAATAACCAAAGAATGCGCCAGCCAACAGAACGCTACTGCGCCAACCACAGGGTTATCCGAAGAGCAGCGTAATAGTTATGGTTCCGATGACTCGGATGACTTTGAGAAGTTGCTGAAATACAATGACTACGATGCTAGTACATCGCTAACAACTGAACTTTTGCCCTACTTCGATATGCAACTGCACAAGAACACCAGCAGCAGTCTCAGCGATTTGTGTGCGCTGAAGGATGACGAGGAGCCGCTCAGCTTACTGCCAACCATCAATAGTGATCCGATGGCGCATCCCGAGGGTGATCTGCTGCCCAATGATTGCGCGCAAGGAATGAACGGCGAATTAGAGGAGGATGAGTCGCATGTTGGCCTCCGACGCAATGGTGTCTGTAGCGATGGTGAGGAGGATTATCTAGACGCCGATGATATGTACTTTCGACAGGCGACAATCTTAAATATTTTACACCGCAACTCAATGCGCAAAATGGCACAAATTTCGCTGAGCAGCGACGAGGGCAGCAGCTTGGAAACGAATGCCTCGGCGTCACTCCCATACCGTCACCAAACACAATCTTCTATATCGTCAAACGCCTCCTCGAACGCCACCACCAGCAGCTCGTTGCAGGATGGAAACAACGGTTGCTCAACCGTTAAACGTCACAGCGGTGCCGATAGTGATGAGGGCTCCATATCGAGCGGCTGTGAGACGGCCAGCACTGTGACAGCCAACCAAGATGATCTATCATTACAATACCGTCACGACAAACAGCTGCTGCAGCTACAGCAGCAACAACAAGCAACATTGCAGTACAGCGACGATGCACACTTTTTCAGCATACCCGACGCTAATGAATCACCCATCACAGCCGATGAAATCTACCAAAGACTCGAAGCGCGCCTGCAGCGTCGTCAAAACAGCGACGCCACCACATTCAGCAGTTCGAGCACAATTACACTGAAAATGAGCACAGGCAGTGACGGCTCTACGACCCAGTCACCGAATGAGCCAGTCACCCAACAGTCCATAAGTGAGCAACCAGCGAATGCTTTAACGAATAGTACAACGCGTGTACGCCGTCAACGGCAACGTCAAATGGTGGCAGCAACACCACCGCCACCCGACTGTAACGCCGACGACACGGACTCGGAGTGCAGCGACGAATCCGGCTATGTGGAGTATCAAGAGCGCGAGAAAACAGTGCGTGAGAAGATTGGCGACGTCGAAAGGCGTCAGTTGCAACAGCAACAACTACAAGAACAACAACAACAGCAACCTATTGCACAAAAACGCCAACTTAAGCCGCAATTGCCGCCGAAACCGATGCCGCGTCGCACCCTCAGCGGCGCCAGCGCGGCCGTGTCCTTGGCAGCCGCTCAGCGTACGAGTAACAGTACCACAGTGTGAATATCGGAATATCAGACGCAGCGGGCCGGTTGACTAAGGCAGTGGTGATTTTGCTGAGCAGATAGGGCGTGCTTACAATTTTGAATTCGAAGTTAAGTGTATGCGATGCAGCACAGCGCGATAAGAGTTTGGAAGCTAACGGCTACCGTTTTTCATTGCTTGCAAAATTGAAAGCCTTGTTTCGAATACGAAATTCGTCTATTTTTATGGAAAATTCTATAAAATAATATATTATTTTTATTACTATTATTATTATATACAAAACGAAAAAATATAGCCTTTTGCACCTTTTACCATTATTTTATTGAACTAGAATTGTTTTCAATATTTTTCTTAAATTTCAAAATTTATACTGAAATTGCATTGCAAATTCTTAAAAGAACTACAATTTTAAACAATTATGCAGCCCACAAGACCCGAAAACACTCACATGCGCCTAGTTCTTTGTTGAAATATTTTTTATATAAATATTAGAGGAAAAAAAAAAATAAACAAAATCAAACTAAAAATTAAAAATTATATGTACAAAGGTATATATATGTATATATATATATATATATATATATATTTATTTAGGCACATACAATAAGTTTACACAAGAGTAAGTGCCTAAATTGTTACATGAACATGTTTGGCACCAAATTTAATAATAATCGACCTTTTTTAAATAATATTTCTTTTTAATCCATAAGAGCTTTATTGTATGTACATATATGTATTATATCTGTACATCGCACACACACTTTTGCACACATTGGGTTATCTTTTCTATTAATTATAAATTTTACACTTTAAAAAATTAATTACAACAACAAGTAAAAATATGTACAAAACCATTTTGAGTTGTAAAATTGGCAAATTTAAAAAAATATTTTTCGAAGCATTGAAATTGCGCATTTTGAAGAAAAAAAAATATATGTATAAAAAAAGAGAAAATTAAAACGAGGTAATGTTACATACAAACATACATATAACAGTTTCAGGGAGCCACTCTAATGCACGCGCTATTTATAGATGAAAACATTGAATTAATCAGTTATTCTATGGAAATGCAAGCATTTAACGTCTACACATTTTTTATCGCACTTTCACATTAAATATATAAAATATATGCTAATGTGCTTCACCACACAAACCACAACGAAAATTCAATTGTATACAATTTATTATTTTTCCTTATCACCCATTTGTACATAAAAAAAAACAAAAACATTTTATCGCATTATACATAGCTCTACATACATACATATATGCAAGGGCTTTACCATTAAAGTTAAGGCTTGTAATATAATTTAAATTAACTTATACACATACAAACATATTAGATGTACATATATATGAATAATGAAATTTCTATGTCAATTATTGTTAAAGGTGATTGCGTAGCTTAGAATGTGTATATACTATGCTATATAATAACTTATAGGTAAATATGTATTTCCACACGTATGTATGAACATATGCATGTGTGCATTGTTGTTATTTTTGTAACATGTATACATATCTCTACATATTTTATATACTAATTTGTTTGTAAATTAATTCAAAATAATGCAAAAATTCTTTATATAAAATGCATGTATACATGTGTGCATACATACATACATAGATATTTTATTATTAAATATTATATCTATAAATTTAAATAGACATATACACAAATTAAGATAAATGAATGATTAATGAAATAAGTGAATAATTTTGAAACGAATTAATAAAACTATTATTTGAATTAAAATTAAAAAATGTTTTTTATTTTGATTTTCGAGAATTGAGTCTCAAATGTCTCAAAACTCATTACATATCTAACAGATATTCTCAAAAGAAAAACGCACGTTTTTGGAAATAAAATACATGTCATCGTTTGCCTCACTAACGCTTTCGCTATCCAAATGTCCAACATCTTCTTTAGAAACTTCAAGTGATTGTCTTATCAAATTGTATAATAAAGTACAAAAAAAAGCAACAATTACTCCATGTTGATTACAGGAAAGCATATAAAACGCATACATTTTGGCGATATTAACTGTAATCAGAATTTGCTTCACTTATACATATATGTACGTATGTATGTATAAGTGAAGCAAATAAAAACTATAAACAAGAATATTAGGAACTTAGCACTTGTTACGTATACGCACTTTACACCTCGATAGGAAAAAATATTTTGATGTATTATTTGAGTTAAATGTTTTCGGAATTGTTACTCGATAGCACTTATATTTGATGTTAAATGGGTAATTTATTAATTAAGCATTTAAATTATCTGGATTTTAATAAAAGTTTGGTTAGATAAATCGAATAGGCCAATAAGCCACGCATAAATCAATCTGGTCCCTTGCGATACCAAATGCAGTTTAGTTGCTAGTTCCAAGAGGAGTAGTCATCCCTTATGATGATTGCGCTTGATGCGAATTTTAACACTCTCTACAGCCTCACTATAAATATCTCCTCCAGTGTATCATACCGTGGAGACCACAGATACTCTCAGCGTAGTCTTGCCAATGCGAGACAACTGCACAAGAGATGCTTCAATGTTTCCCTGGTGCCTTGCTCCAGATATTTTCTGCAGTTTTCTCGAGCATGTTCCTACAGTCCCTTCTATCAAGTGCCAATAGGAATTTTGTGTACTTCAGATCTACCGTTTTACTCAGGACCTTTGCAGTTTTGCAGCCAGGCAGCTAATTCCACCGGGTTTTGCTTTTCTTTACCATGCTTCTGTCAAGATCGTTGTATAGACAATGCATGGGTTTCCCAATATTGGTCACGTTTGCGGATGTTGTGAAGTTGTTTGCTTCTGGCAACACTTTCCACTGCCGCTCTGCTTTCCAAAACACTTCTGATCGATATGCAGTAAGAGGTTACTGCTTTGACTGCTGCTTGGCTGTCTACGTAGATGTTGATTCTGGATTTGGCTGCGGGTGCATTAGAGGCCAGCACCGCGGCTTTCGCAATAGCAAAGACCTCAGCTTTAAATATATTACAGTGGTCCGTCAACTTAAAAGGTTGCCTTATGTCTAACTCTAGACAGTATATTCCAACCAACCAACCAATCAACTCCATCGTCCATTTTCAAGCAATCCGTATAGATGCTAAGAATGTTGCGCGTAGCTAACATACCTTTGCGCCATGCATCTTTTCCTATGTTTACTTTGAACCTTCTTTACCAATTGAGAAGTCAACCCAACCCAATCCTCCTAACCGCCATTACCCACCGAGCTATACCCGTAAGTTCTATATATTATAATATAAATTCTTCTACAGCCAATATTCGTCCCACCGATTTTGCTACGCAGTTTTCAGCGAAGTGGTCTATGGATAGCAAGTTTAGTAGCAGCTCAAGAACCTCCGTTGTTCTTAAAGCTCCCGTTATGCACAGCGCAGCGAGCCTCTGAACCCTTTCTATTGACTTCCGGTAGGTGGATTTCGGTACGCCTGTCCACCATACTACTGCACCGTAGAACAGAATTGGTCTAACAATAGCTGTGTAGCACCAGTGCATGAGAGAGGAAGATAACCCCAGGATTTTTATAAAAATATATTCTTTAAAATTATCCATTAGTATAAAAGTGGGAATTTTATTTATGGTGGGAAGATAAAAGTTTGCACAGACAACAGATCGTTAAGCAAAATATGATAAACTTTGATATTAAATAGTGATAAAGATTCTCGCTGCGTACTATTTTACAGCAATATGAAATTATTAATTGATTTTTTCTAAACCTCCTAATATATAGTTTAGTCTAACATTGATAATATTAGTTCGTGATGAATAAAATTTATTTTTTTATTGCATTTTCCTATTATTTACAACCTCTCTTGTCACTATGGATGAACGCTTCCGCAGTTCAACCTCTTTAAGTGATTAACATATCTTGAACTGATTTTCTGATTTCACATATAAGTTAATACCACGGAGCGTTTGCGGAGAACCTGAAGTTTTTCGACTGATCATTCAATTAGTGCAACGTTCCATTTACTTTCAGTTCTCCAAATTCGTATTCCATATGCACGAATCGGTTTCAAAATGCTTGTATAAGTTAAGATAGCAAGTGTAGCCCCATCTGCAATTTCCTTGACTGCAGTGAGCGGCTCGATATTTCACCGGATAATGAGAATCATCACCACACAGCGCATGCGCTCTCACAACAACAGGAAATAATTGTTGCCTTGCTCACTAATCCATTTCAACCCGCAATGTGTCAATCGGTATATTCCTAACATGCTTGGTTGGTTGATCGTGAGATTGTTGGAAGGAAAGATCAGAATCTCACAACAACAACGATGCCTTGATCCGATCGAGTATCAATACATCGCGCTCTAACCGCAATGCGGTGCTTAAGAAGTAAGGAAATAATTGTTGCCTCGCTCACTAATCCAATTCAACCCGCAATGCGTCAATCGGTATATTTGTAAAATGCTTGGTTGGTTGATCGTGAGATKGAAAGGAAAGATCAGAATAAATTTGACTTGTGAACAATTAAGTCGTGGATTCTCTACCATTAACTTATATAAGATCACCTTATTCTTAAGACTTAGTTTCGATTTATTACCCCGTAACCAGTACATTTTTCTCGGCTTACTTTTAAGATGATCTTGTTTGGTTTTTATGTGTAGGTGCTATAACAGTCCTCTTCCGAATGAGATTGAATCTCCTATTTTCATGGCGAAGGTATCAAGCGATCAGGATTCTACTCCGTTCAGTTGTTGAACAGTTTCAGGGGCTTCGTTTGCAGAGTAAGCAGATGCAAGAATGGCGGTGTCGTTTACATATTTGGCAACAGTTATATAATATTTTATTATTAGCATGTCCCCAGTGAAAATCGTGTTAGTGTTGGGCCAAGCACGCTGCCTTGCGGAAGATCTGCTTTGACTTCGTGGTGTCGGATGTGTCATCATTAATTCTAGCGTAACAATATCTGTAATGTAGGTAGGACGTAGGAAATAGGTAAAGTGAAGCTGATAGTTTCATTTTTATTTTTAATGAACACAAATCTCGTCGATTACGGCGAATTGCTTCAAGTAGACACCTCACAACAGCAAAGATCGTTTTGTTTGACCCTGTGGAATGAATTAATTTTAATAATGATGGAATGACGTTGCCAAACATCACTTGTGCGCAAAAAAATCAACTTGGTAAATAATGGACACCCTATTATATACATCTCTATATCGGGTACAAATAGAAATAGAAAGTTTTCAAAGCGAGCGATTTTCTGCTGATCCAACAAGGTAAGCATACTTTTTCTTTACAAATAAACTTTTGAAATCGATCGAAAATTTTGGTCAATGGACATCAAATTATTAAAATAATTTCCGTTTTTTTTTTATTAAAAAGTGTATTCAAATTAAATACAATGACAAATTTTAAAGCCACCAATAATTACTATTTGCGAATACTTAAGGTGTTAGGTTAGTCTAGAGCCCTATAAAAATGTATATGCAAAAAGATTATAGTGATGCTTTCGACAATAATCGATGACGAATTTGGAGAAGACATCTTGTTATCCCTATTCAGGATATGTTCATAATAATCTTAAATATAAATGCCTTTATTGCATCTTTTTTTTATTGGCGTAGACACCGCTTACGGAGTTATAGCAGAGTTTACAACAGCGCGGCAGGCGTTTTCCCTTTTCGCTGTTTGTCGCCAATAGGTGATTTTAAGTGTAGCCAGGCCCTTCTCCACCTGGTCTATCCAACGGGGTGGAGGTATTCCTCTCCCTCTGCTTCCCCCGATGGGAACTGCATCGAATACTTTCAATGCTGGGGGTTTTCGTCCATTGGAACAACATTACCGTCAGCGTAGCTGCTATTTTTTAATTCGCTGAACTATGCAAACGTTGTCGTATATCACATATCACATCGTTCCATCAATTGCAGTATTCGCCGCAAAAATACGTGCAAAAGTCCATAAAATGACTTTTCTCTCGAAAACTCATAAGGCGACTCAGCAGATATTGTTATCGTCCCTCTGCACCATACCTGTATAGCAGGACGGGAATAATGAGTGACTTATAGAGTTTGACTTTTGTTCGTCGAGAGTGGACTTTACTTCTCAATTGTCGTCTTAGTCCGAAGTAGCACCGACTGGCAAAAGTTATTCTGCGTTGAATTGCGAGGTTTCGTTGTTGGTTTTTTCGCCCTCGTTTAATACCAGGGAAATGCATCACTTCAGTAAAATATCTCGTCAGCATGTCTTAATACCGTGCATTTTCACTCCCTTATGTTAATGTTGAGAACCATTCTTGAAATATTTATGTCTGTTTGTGCAATAATTCTACTAATGTTAATTGCTACGTAAATGCGGTGAATAGAAGATAAAAATTATGATGTAATAATCATAGAAAATTTTGAAATGTTCATAACCAAAGGCAAATATGTATGTACATTTTGTGGTTTCTCAATTTCCTCGACACATTCTTTCAATTACTCAATATTTTGTTTGCAATATTGTTGCGATATTTTGCAGTATGTTGCACAACTACCTATCTCTCTCTCTCTCTGTCTCTCTCTCATATGGATTTACGCGCACACGGCCACAGCTTGTTTAAGCATTGTTGTTTGCGGTTTCAGCGTATTATAAAGAGACAAAAAAGAATCGAGTAAGATTATACCGACCTTTTGCACAACTTATGACAATAATCATATTTAGGTCACTTACAACCTGTCTTAACGCATCGTAAAATCATAAAATCATAATTTTTTACACTTTTTTTAAGAAGTTATTGTTGGATTACATACAAATATTTGTTTCCACAATTACAAGCTGTGTTTTCGCTTCGTAATAACTTATATCTTTATGTCACAATATGAAACCCCTATTTAGATATACATAGATATATTGGATGTGGGTATATTAGGGTGATTCAAAAAAATTTTTTTTTTTCGTTTGGTACTCTGAAATATAGGTTCCTAGACACCTCTAAGGAAGCCTCCCCAAGAATGAGTTCTTAATTGTAACGGGAAGGTCCTCCTACTTACAATTTTCTATTTTTTCTTATTATCATATAGATTTTCCTTAGATTTTGTAGGAAATTGAATGCTCTACAAAAAAGGCATGTACGATTTTTTCGTAAACCCAACCGTTTAAAAGATATTGACAGGTAAAGTTTGAATATTTTTGGGAATTTTTTTTATTTCTTATGAATATTATAACCCAATGAACTTTATTATTATGAATGATGAAACTCATAGGTTTTTGGAGAGGATTTCTGAGAGGTGAATAGGAACCTATTTTTCAGAGTGCCAAACGGAATTTTTTTTTTTTTTTTTTGATTCACCCTAATTTGCATTGATGTTTGACGATGAATATCTCGTAAACGCTTAATCGAAAAGTCATAAGAGACCATTTTTATAGAGCAATGAATTTCCTACAAAACTATCAGTTTCATCATTAGACAGTGTGGTGCGCTCCGAATTCCTTTCGACCGGTCAAACAGTCAACAAGGAATACTATTTGAGTGTTATGCGTCGTTTGTGCGAAGCTATTAGTAATAAAATGCAACTTTTGGTTTTAGCACACCAATAACGCAACATCGCGTTCTGCATTGATGCTTCGTGAGTTTGTCGCAAAATTTTCAACCAATATCGTGCCGCAACCACCGTAATCGCCTGATTGAACCGCGTGTAACTTCTGGTTATTCAGCAAGTTCAAACGATCGATCCGGGGAAACCTGTTTGAGTTAATTCCTTAAACGTGGATCAGTACACGCATTGAAGGCTATTCCTGAAACTGACTTTAACAACTGCTTGGAGGATTGGAAAAATCGTATAATCGGAAAAGGGTTTTGGGGCCAAGGGAGATTGCTTTGACGTGGACGACACAAAAATTGAAGAATAAATTAAGAACTTTAAAATTATTAACAAAGTTTGACTATTTGTTTGTTAATGTAGAATTAGTATGATATTATATATTTACAAAAAAAAAAATTATAAAATTGTTTCATTTTATTTATAAACAAAAAACATTATTTCACTAAAAAATATACAATACATAATATAGTACACCGTTAAATACGTTTCTGCACACATTTTCAAAACTATGTAGCGTCAAACACACTGATCACTCCCCTTGCCGCTGCTCCTACGATCGACTCATTCGCTGCACGAATCGTTGACGATGCCGCGTTTCTGCAGCAGCGCACAAACGGTACCACGGAAGTCGTACTGCGAAGCATCCTGAAGCTGTTGATTGAAAACCTGTCGTGGGAAAACCCAGAAATGTTGTTATTTAAAAATATTATATAATCGAAAATATTCACTTACGCCATCGTAAATGATGGTCGGCACAAATGAGGGCGAATACTGGTTTGTCACCTGCTCTGCCAATAACTGCAACTGCGTGCCCACGTTCGTTTTCACACAACCGTCAACGTCGCTGCTGAGGCCCACCAAGTCGGTGCACTTGAAATCCATGGAATTACCGTAAATACGTTATGAATAAAAATTATTTTCGGAAATGTAAAACTTGTCTGGCCTTACTTCTTCCACATTCTGCTTATCGTTCGCCAACATTTGACAGATGGCAAAGCGCACTCGCTGATCCTGTGTACTTGGCTGATTCAAGACACACGATTGCAAACGATTGCCAGCACATTCTGCGGGTCCATGCTGGCAATAAAACTCGTTGCCATGGTTGACAGACTGTTGAAGAAAAATCGAACAATACATTGTATAAATAATCAACTTAAATTTATTCGTAGGCGCCCTGTAGGAAAACTATGAGAATAAAATAAATTGATGTGAGATCATAACAGATTGAAGATTTTTTTAGAGAGAGATTTGTGTCAAAATTACAATATAATGTTACAAAGTAGTCAAAAGCAAAGTGTCTGTTTAGTTTTGTCCTCTTTTGTATTGTGCACAATTTTTCGAATAAAAATTTCGGTGCTAATTGTTAGAATAATCTAAAACACAAAACTCGACGAGTTGTCGAGTTAAATTTCATCTTGATTGCTAATTGACCTGTAGGAGCCAAAAGAAACCCCACAATTTATTTAAATCCATCCCTAAGAGAGGGGAGGATCATAAAAAATACTCATCAAGGATCCTAAATCTAGTCCATTCATTAAATGGCCGAAGAACATAATGGTTGACTTATTACGATTTGCAACTATGTTTGTGTATCTCCTGTATCTCCATGCTTTCCAACAAGCATATCGTAATTGTAACGTTAAGTTTCAAAAGCAAAATCATTCACAGAACTTATACGGTAGAGGACAAAGCCAGATTTTGAATTAGACTACAGCTGGCTGAGAAGAACGGTAATATTTTGAAATTATTATTTCGGAAAACCAATGGGCATAGAGATCGATTTCAAAACTAACCTGCGATGCTGTTTTAAAAGATATTGTGGTGAAAGTAAAAGCTATCCAATTAGACCCATTCTTAACTTAAAAATTATCCCAATGATTACAAATAGGTGATAATAAGGGCTCATAGAAAAAATTTCTTGATTAAAAATCGTCATTGGATGATATCTCCAGATGGCATTAGAGAGATTTTAAGGCTAAGTTATTAATTTACATTTTAAGGCTTATATAGTGTTAGAATTTTCTAAAAAATAGATTTTTTTATTTTCTTAATGTACATACATATATGCACATATTTAACAATACACAAAGAAAATTTCAAATAATATTTTCGAAGTTACACGTAAATTTGAAAAGTCGTTTCAGAGTGCTTGGAAGTACAAGGCTAAACTGTAAACACGTTTTTCTTAAAATGAACGATTAGTCTCAAATTTTAACACGAGCATTCTTAAATCAATTTTTTTAGAAATTAATCGAAATTTTTTTCATATGGAAATTTTTTTTTAATAATTTAAGGTCAAAGCTCAATAATCGACTTTTTTTTAGAAAAAAAATATATATATATTTCTTCGATTAATTATTAGATTTAACATTACCTTAACGAAATATGTTTTATTTTTTAAGGGATTACATGGGTTTACGGGATTCAAATCCGATTTTTTTTATTATCTTAAAAAAAATATTCTACAACAACCTAAATTTTCAAATTGATCCGAGTAATGGTTTCGGAGATACAGTCTTGAGAACTTGTGCGCTCGAGACTGGCTAGGCTAAGTGCGGCGTTTTAAATGCGTTTTTCACGAAACTGTTTTTGAAGTCGGTTGACAAGATTTCTCGAGAACTACTCAACCGATCTTCATTTAGCAGGTCTTTTAGAGACAATTCTTAAAGACTGGGACGATGAAAATAAAATATATA